ACGGTGGAATAAGTAGATATTCTAGCCTTGAACAAAAAGGTGACATTTAGATAAATTCCTTACACTAGAACATATTCAAAATGTCACGCATTTGTCTTTAATAGACTTTTACCATATAATGGGAGATCTGTGTTTTGTTAACCTGATAAACTTAACAATTATTTTTGCTGAAGACTTAAATGTGTACATCTTATCATATCTTAAATATTACCAGATAGATAAATCCCGATTGTATTCTTTTATATAATGTTTGTATTACTATAATAATCTGTATGTTAAGGTTTATTGACATGAACAATTCATAAAGAACAACATGTTACACACTAATAAAAAACATCTTATTTAAACAAACATTATCCTATATTTATTTTATATACTTTATGGAGAAATTCAAACAGTTAATAACAAACTTCACGTTTACTTTAATTCTCTTAATGTCGTGCAATGTAATTGTCGGCGTCATAGTTAATTCTCTAAATAGCCGTAAACTTAAGAGATCAAGAGTTTGTCTGTTTATCTGAACAGAAAACGGTAACATTTGATTAATGTCTATAATAATTTAGTTGAATATTTTATAATTTGATAAAGTTATGGTGCATTTATTAATGACAATATATCAAACATGATAATTAATATTTATGTTCCTGAATAAATTGATAAGATACGAACGTTTGCTGCTTTACATGAAGGAGCGAGTATATCAAAATGACCAGAATGATATAATCAGACTCCTTTTTTCAAGCTTACAAACAAATAGGTCCAGCATAAATTGCGTTGTTGAACTATAATCAGAAGTTACACTTCATAACTATTTAAAAAAGCAAAAATGATTCAGTGTAAAAATAATCGATTGATTTTAACTGATGATTAACAATAATTAAATGAAACCTTCATTATTTATTTACAAGAAAGATACAAGCATCTAAGAATTGAATTGTTTAATTGAATGCACATACTATCTTAAACAACGAACAAAGGATTTATATGTACTAAAGCCAATGTCAATGTTTGTTAATGTGTAAAAGATTTATTGTTCAGGTCACCTTGTCCTTGTCATCCCCAAACAATGGACCATCTATTGTATGTTCTTGCCATATTTAAAAAAAAATAAATGAAGTTAGTTGGTAGAAAAATTTAAGATAAATCTTTTTTGCTACACACTTTATCTAAATGGTGAATGCTTTACACTATTTCGTTTTTTTTGTAAAAAAAATTAAAGTCGAGTATTGAATTGGTGAATCAATACTCATACTTCGAAGAACTTGCCGTTAGCTAATGTGAGCACAAAATAAATTTGCCGACATTTAATTACTTTATTTATTCAGGACATCTGGGTTAATTTTACAGCAAGATAATGCATCTGATTTAACAAATAATGACAAACGTGCATGCGTTTACATTTCGAAAGTTTGCTGTGTTTCAGCAGAAGAAATGCATTCTCTCTATTTGTTTTCTGCGAATAATGAATGGAGTTTTGAGGTGATGCAAAAACTGATAAAACAATGTGATTGTTTTCAGAATACAAGGTTCAGTAAGAAGATATGAAAATTTAGTTTAAAATGATAAACAGTTAGAACCCGTAGATGACTTCATTTATGTCCCCGTAATATAATAATTTATACTGGAATTTATATTATGAGAATTAAATGTCATAAAACCAACCGATATAGCATTTGTCCGAATTATAATCCTATTGTGAATTTGTTAGATCAACACTGAACTTCAATGTGCTTCATGGCTTGATGAACACTGTGTTCTCGTTTCGAATTAAATGTCATTGAAACATGGTTACGTGAATTATTGTTCGCAGTATCAAAATTGCATTTTCATTTCATAAAATAACTTGATTTACTTATTTTTTAAAATGTTAAAGATTGTGCTTGTATACAGATTTTTATCATTGCTCATGTATTTAGGTAGAGTTTGTGCGTTTCCGACTTTTTGTTTATAGAACATATTCGACACTGCTATCCGTCTCCTTTTGATACAAAGAAATCATATGTTTTTGACTGGTTGCATTGACATAGTTATAAATCATGGACAGGGGAATTCTTTTTTCAGATAAACTTAAAGACACACCTGGTAAATATTAAGTATAATAAATACATATAGGATTCTTTTTCTATTTCTGTGGAGAAAAACTTCGATTTATATTTAATAACAGCGATTAAAATTTGATATTAATTATTAAAGTTTAAATACCATTTTCTTCAAACACCAAATACTTATGTTGTTGCTCTGGTATGTCATAAAAACTTGCTATAATTATACTGTTTCATGTAAAATGTTTTGTTGATCAATCCATTCGAGAAGCATATGAGTAAAATAATAATTTGAATCACATATGACGGTTAATGGACTAACTAATGTTTGCACATTTTTTCGGCGAAGAAGGGTATTTCTAATAGAAATTCTTAAAGTTACTTCAAATAACATGGATGACTCTATACACGATTCCGGAAAAGATTATTAAAATGTGTGGGTTTTTTGTTGTTTCATTCAACTGTTAAAGACTTTTTTTGACCGGATTACTAAGCATTAATAAACATCAATGACCTGAAATTGTTTTAATGATGTTACAGACATCGATCGTTACTTAAAAAAATGCAAAGGTATTGTGTTGAATAAAATATTACAGTAAATATAGCCAATACAGTTGACATGGTATGTAAATCTGGAAATAACCAAGAGCGTACTAATTAATTTTAAATATGAATGGTTGTAAATAAATGTTGTACCTTGGTATTATGTTCACAAGTAACGGCAAATTTTAAAACGTTCTAAAAGCAATTTCTAAACAGTCGTTTTACTCTTCCGTATTTGATGTTGTTGCTTTATCTGAAAAGCTTAAACTATTTGATGTAACGATTTTACCTATTTCAAGTTACGACTGTGAAATATAGGGATTCCACCATTCCCCGTATATTGAAAACATAAATTAAATTTCTAAAACAAATATCGCATGTAGGACAACAAACAACTAATGTTACTATTCAAGTAAAAATTGAAGGATTTCTCTTAATATTTTAAGAAAGGAGCGCATTATATTTTAATTTATAATATTGTTAAGACACCTGATGTGCTTGTATATAAATCTATTATATACAGTCAAATTAGCAGTGATAGGGGTTCTTGGGCAAACGAAGTTAAAAGATTATTAAAAAACATAGAATTTGCGTATATAGGGACAAAAATGTCATTTAGTAAGCAGCAACTGAATACTGCCATTAAAATATACTGCCAATATTATTAAAATGTTTATTCACCTGTTGATACAATGCCCAAACATTGTAGTTCTATATTATTTTTAAACTATAAAGGATTTTCAAAAAAATTATCATGTTTAAAAAATTTCTCATCGTTTAGCACTCATTAGACTTAAGAGGCAAGCAATAGAAGAAGTAAGATTTAAGAAAATACCAAGGAAAAATAGATAAACTTATTTTTTTGAATATGAATACCATTTCTTCTTGTATGCTAACACTACCCTGAAATTTTAATAAACGTCTAACCAAATATTATTGTCATTGACCAACACTACAGAAATTCAGAATGCTAGAAACAACAAAACAATCCAATGTATTAAATAAACTTGCTAAATATAAATTATTTGCAACAAAACTAGGTTCTACCGAAATAAGTGAAGATTGAAAAATTAAAATGTAAATACCATTTAAATATATAATGTCATGAAACCATAATTTTCAGGACCTATATATGTTTGGTCTGATCTGATTTATCGGAATTCATTATAGACATAACAATGACGCCCCCCCCCCCCCAAAAAAAAAAAAAAGTCATTTCATTGTTTACTTTGTACACGGATTTTTTAATGCAAATATGTTTACATTGACTTTGTATAAATCATTTGTTTTGATATATGATTATATTTTATTTATATGTAATATTGAAATATATATTATATCATGCTTATTGAAGCACATAATTAATATTATTTACATACCAATTACATTTAAACACAGTTACTCTTGAACTTTATGTTCCGAATATTCTAAACATTCTGTTGTGTAAACACTAAATAATCAAAAGATTGCACTGGTTCTTCAATAACGTTGTTTTATTATCGATTACCGGAAGTCAACTCATATAATGACGTCACTGCAATAACATATAAAAAGGCGCGCCACGCTAAACGTGACGCTAATATTGGCGCAATAACTCAGTACATACATATGTACGTAACACTCCGGGGACCACAATGCTTGTTCAAGATCATATTTTATTAACCCATTCCCACTTAGCCAGATAAGCTTATCAGCCACCTATACTGCATGACCTAATTAGGTAATCAATAATCAATAATGCATACTGATAAGGCCAGTTTATCTACACCATCTGCATAGAGGTAATTGGTGTTTTTTTAATGATTTCACACCTCTAGTGGTCAGCCATAAATTATGGTAATTTATAGTTGTTTAACAGTTTAGGTGTCATTAAATTAAATATTGCAAATTGAATTTTCTTTTCAATGGTGGTTTTCTTTAGTTAAAACTCCAAGTTTTACCTATGAAACATAGGGTTTAAAGTAAAAATTATAGCATTTATAAGTTTGAACAAGTTTTATTTTGTCAATTTGATGAAACATTGCATTATAATATAAATAAATTTATTACATAGAATTACATATATATATACAAGTAAAAATCTTACAAACTTTCATTGATTTAGTTTCAGAATTTAAGCCACTATAATAAAAAACAAAACAACAATGCAACTACATTTCAAGACAGATAGAAACCTTTCAGAATCAGATACTGATGTAATTTCTATTGTAATTTTTTGCTTTTTAGAAATATATTATTTTATAATATAATATTTACAATATAATATTTTATGAACTAATATAATATTTATTTTATAATATAATAATATTTAATAAATAATTTTATTTCATAATATAATATATTATTTTATAATATAATATCTCATCACAGCCTTACTAACATAACAATGTACACTATTTACAAATAAATAAATAAATAAATATTTTAATAAATTAATAAATAAATCAATCAATCAATCAATCAATCAATCAATACACACATAAGAAAACAACACAAATAGTCCTAACATTAGATGTTCTTATTCATTTATACACTTTTTACCAATCACCAAATGCCTAAGTAACACTATGTACATCATTTACAAAAAAGCACATATAATCCATAATCCATAAATAAATCCACTGAATTTCATGTTTTATCCACTGTTTATATGAATTTTATGTTTTATCCACTCATTATTGACTATTTATACACACTATCACATTACAAATTGTGAAATCTCGCATGACATCCATCTCTACATAAATGTACTCTACAGACGGTACATCCATACACTGTTTCTCTTCGTACTCCTAAAGTCTTCAGGTGATAGCGGCACCTTCCTTTTGGGCCAGACAGTTTTCCATTGATATGTCCACTTACATTCTGACTGTCTACTAACGGTATACAGTCAATTTCACTTGCTTTCCTTTTCCGCCCCGTGTACCCACTTATAAGTCCTTGAGCCAATTCAATCCTAAAGTCTATATGTGTATATCTCTTTTTGTTTCTTGGACGTTTTGATGTTTCTTTATACATAATGAAAGCATTAACTATCGAGCAGTTCACCAGAAACCAAAAAAGGTATCTCCACCACTTCTTCGAGTTGCGTCCAACAGTGTAGTTCATGCGAAGTTGATCATGCTGATCTACACCACCCATATACTTGTTATAGCTTTTCACTGAGGCGGGCTGTTGTAGCTGGAGGACAGTAGGGCCAACTCTCCTCTGGGCAGGTTGTATATCGTCGGGCTGATTCAGTGTGGAAAGGTGGTGTACCAGGCGCTTGTCTTTCCACACTGTGGCGATCAGGTTTGAGTCTCCCTTCTGCATCACCATTGACTCACCACGGTTCTTTATTTCCTTTGGTTTTTTTAGTTCAGTAGGGAAGCCTCTCCTATTGACCCTAACGGTACCACAACCATACAATCCATTTTCATACAAATGTTCTAATAGGGGAATGCTAGTGAAGAAATTGTCAAAATAAACATGGCGGTAAGTTCCATGAATATTATTAGTCAGACCAGACACAACATTAAATCCAAGGCCGTGTTCAACACCAACTGCACTCCGCCCAAGATAGACCTGAAACCTGGATAAATACGAAGAGTTGGAGTCACAGGCCATCCATACCTTGATTCCTCTTTTTATAGGCTTAGCTGGCATGTATTGACGGAAAGAAAGTTTGCCGGAGTATCTAATCATGGCCTCATCCACTGCTAACTCTCGTCCAACGTTGTAATTCAATAGAAATGACACTGTCACATGGTCAAGGATGGGTCTTACTTTGTAGAGGCGGTCATAATCTCTGTGCCCTCTTGCTGGCTCCTTCTCTCTATCAGATACATGGAAGTACTGTCTCACTTTTTGGTATCTACAAAAATATAAAACAAAAATTTAATGATGATTTTTACAAAATAGTAACAAAAATAAGTGATTTGCAGAGTCATGAGCTGCCAAATAAACTTAAAAAAGTATATGTAACCTTAAAAATCAGACAGATGCAGTAACAAATAATATACATACAAAGTTTATTTGCAGCTGTGATGAATTAAAATATTATTTCAAAAGTAGATGTATTGTTTCTTTTTTTCCTATTTATAACATTTATATTTTGTTGATAATTTAGAGCTTGGTAAGTTCTTGCTAACATCTGTTATATATCTATAAAACTAAAGATTAAAAACTATTCAAACCATACCGGTTAGCAGTCATTATATCTTGAATGCCGGCATTCCCAATCAGTGGATTTTTGGACCAGTACATCATAGTATCAGGTAGTTGGTTGATCCCCATAATGATCTCCATCCCTATGAAGGCACGTATTTCATTTGGGGTTGTCTCTGTCCAGTACGGATCCACTGTGCCTGTTTGGTCCATCCTCCATTTGGCGTATCTATTAGTATTGCGAGCAATCTCAACAAATAGTTCCATGCTAAACAGTAGCCAGAAGTAGTCAAGAGGAGAAGCACTGTTCACATCAAAGCTATCAGGAAGCTTAGTACCAGACTCACAAGTAAAGTCATTGACCTGAAAATAATAAAAAATAATTTATTATATTTCATATTTCACACACAAATTTTCTGTAAATATACAAAGTTTTATGCTCTTTACACATGTACTTTATGAACTTCATTTAGAAATCTACATGTATATTTTTATTTACATGATGCATAAACAGTTGTGCCTTTACAATTTTTAAAACAATATATATCAGAGCATATTATCATAAAAATTTCAATTATGAAACATAGAAAAGGTTAACATAATGTTTGAAAAGTTATGCATCGGTAATCGTAATGCATAAGTGTTACGAAAATTATACATGTTGAAAAATATACATGTACATTGTACGTACCGTAATTGGAGTAAATCTCTTCGTCCATTCATCATTTCTGGGTTGATCAACCTCTGATTCAGACTCCGAATCATTGTCAGACAAATCTGAACAAACACTAATATCTGACTCGGATGAAAATCCTTCGAAATCCCCCTCGTTATCGGTATCGCTGTTGATAATATCTTCAATCGTTCTTGATGCAGCCATTTTTTTTTGTTTTCTATAATGTACTATTTTCGGCAAAGGTCAGGCACCTGTTGAATGTCACGCGCTCGCACCTGGTGCAATATGGATATTTTGATTGGATGCTAATTTTAACCGATACTTAAAATAGACACATTGGGGATTTCATCCGGGCAACATGCACTTTTTTTTATAGGTGTCGCATACTTTAGCGGTAAACCAGCCAGACCGCGTGATCTATGGGTCATCTGATTGGACGTTGATTACTCCTTTATTTTCAAAAGGAACACCACATTTTTTTTATGGAATATTGCAGCTAATATATCAATCCGCGTTACGAAACAGTTTTTACAGAGGTCAGAGGTTGAAAAACATAAACAAATGGCTGCCAAAAGTGACGGCGCTGAATAGCGCTTGCATGCGTTGATTGATAAGGGCGCTCTGACTCGCTTATATGCCGCGATAGATAGCGGCGCGCTATAGCGCTTGTATGCGGGTATCGATAAAGGCGCGGTAAGTCGCTTGTAAGTGGGAATGGGTTAAATAAAAAATTATAATTGTACAAACTGAAATTCAATGAAATGAAGTATTGTAACTTAGAAACTTTGAAATCAGATATATCTAGTGAATTAAATTACAAGTTCGATCAATCAATTAAATTCATAAACTGTCTCTGATAGTAAACCACTATTGCAATTAGTTTCAAGTCATTGTTATTATACTCTTATTGTAATTGACCGATAAAGTTTCACTGATTATATATAACAAATGCCACTTAATGTTTTAAAGGCATGCGCGAAAAATTGGTGCCGGCAAATACACGTGAATCACGTGTACAATGTTACTTAAGTTCTAGTGGGTACAGCTTGGCAATAGGTCGTGTAGTAATTCCTCGTCTGGATCTAACACGGGCTGCTCGAATATGTCCATCACCGCCAGTTACTTCATCTTCTATTAATTCCTAATGATGACCAGCGATTCCTTGGTAAATACTCGTCATGTATTTGAACCACGTCACCAACATTGATATTGTCACCATGGTTACCAGATTTTCTGTGAAACTCTCGCAACGATGTGAGGTATTCGTGTTTCCATCTTGACCAAAAATGATCAAGCGTTGTAGTCGTAAATCTGAACAATTTACCGGCCGATCTTGGGTTAATTCCTTTGTTGTGGGATCTCTGTCGTCTGGATAAATAGGGGAGGTAATCCTTCGTCCGTATAGTAGATGCGATGGTGTTAATGGTTCTTCATCTCTGGTATCTGTATATGTATATGTAAGAGGGCGGTCATTGATAGTGCATTCTATTTCTGTTATAAGTGTAGGAAGAACTTCCATGCTTATTAATTATTTCCAAAGCACTTTTCTGATACATGTCTTGGTAATACCTATCAGTCTCTCCCACCAACCACCATACCAAGGGGCATGTTGCAGGATAAAAGTCCATGAAATATTGTGTGTTCCAAGAATCTCGTCCTTCAGGATTTTGGCAGTGGCTATATATGTAAGGGCGTTATCCGACATTATAATTTTTGGAATTGATTTTCTACTGAAGAAACGCCGTAGAGCCAAAATGAATGATTCAACAGTCATATCTAGCACAAATGGATAGCTCGTGTATTTGCGCACGTGAAAAGACAAATATATGCCTTTTGTAGATCTCCATGAGGAGTTTTTACTGTCAATGCTCCAGGGAAATCTATCCCTGTCACAGTGAATGGTGGTGCTTGTTTCAATCTGTTGCTCGGTAAAGGTGGGGCGTCGGAATTACTATATACCTGTTATCTTGCGGCACGTGACGCACGTGCGAACAACTTTCCGAACGCGTTGACGAATCCAGTACTTTGACGAAGAAATGTGACAGTACTTGCTGTACCGGAATGAAGCTGAACAATATGTGCGTCCTTTATGATAAGGTCTGTAAATCGATGTTTAGACGGAAGAAGGTACGGGAATCTCGTGCTTTCTTGTAACGGTGCATTATGTAATCTACCGCCGCAACGAATTAGCTTGTCGTCATCCATGAAAAGATCTAGCTGTGTTACTATAGTTGGTCTTCTTGATCTGCTTGATTTGTTTTTTAACAGGTACTTTTGTCGTTGCGGGTGTATTATTAGTTGTCTGACTGCTACATCCATCTCGTGTGTCTCTAAAGGTCCACGTATTTTCTCTGAACGTCTGCAATTATTAACAATTATTTTGAATTTTTTCGTAGGTAAGTCCCCTCGATAAAAGGTCTGCAGGATTCTCATGAGTCGGGCAATACTGCCATTGAAAACCATTAGACATCTCTTGTATTTCCTTTACACGATTTGACACAAATATCGGTTGTTTCTTGGCTGAAGAAATCCAACTCAACACGATTTGACTATCGCTCCATAGATATATACTTTTACAGTCAATAGCTGACTTTATATGTTGACAAAGTCTTGCTGCAAGAAGTGCTGCACAAAGTTCTAGCTTTGGAACTGTAAGCTGCTTGATTGGGGCTACTTTACTCTTCGCCATGATGAGTATGCTTTCGTTACCGGAAACGAGATATGCGTATGCTCCATACGCTTATATGCTTGAATCGGCGAAAATATGCAGGCTTTCATCTTTGTGTGTGGATTTTGGGAAATATTGTCGGCTGAATTTTATTCCGGTGGCCTTGACTAAATCTTCTCTTATCTTTATCCATTCCGTAATTATTTCTTCGGGTAAAACCTCATCCCAGTCGAAGTTTTGTTTCCATAGCAACTGTATCAACATTTTTCCTCTAACAGTAATTGGACAGAGCAATCCCAATGAATCTCCCTTTTAGTTAATAATAAGTAATTACTTGGGTTTGAAATCTTTGGCGAATACGACATTTCATCGGCTGAAGGATCCCAACGCATTCCCAGGATCTTTGTGACTGTATCCTTGTCGCCGACTTCATCGGACTGGATAATTTTACGTAATTTTGGGTTGTTTGAGCTCCAGGATCTCAAATTAAAGCCTGCTTGCTGGAACAGGTGTCTGCTATCTTTGTAGAAATCCAACAGTAAATTCTCATCTGGTATGCTTGCAAGAATATTGTCTACATATAACGCTTCCTTTACTCGGTCTTGTAATGTTACACTGATGTAAATCTAAATGTTTCATAATAACTGCGTTCAGAATGAATGGTGAGCACGTTGCTCCAAAAAGCACTGACTTGAAACGGTATATCTGAAGAGAACTATCTGGATCATTTGGATCTGATAACCAAAAGAAACGGGTAGTGTCACGGTCGTCTTGATGTAGGCTGACGTTTAAGAATGCTTTCTCAATATCATTGCAGACAGCAAATTTGTTGTACCGGAAACGCAGTAATATTGAAGTTAAGTCGTTAAGCTGTGGTGGTATATTCATCAGACATTCATTTAAACTTGGAGAATTCTTAGATGATCTGCAACTGCAATCATAAACGATACGAATGGGTGTGGTTGCCGAGTCTTTTCTCACAGGATGATGGGGAATGTAGTGTACTTTTCGTCGTGGTAATAATGGGGTCGGGACTAATGTGTCGTCTATACTAGGAGATAATGGCTCTGTAACCTTCTCTATAAATCCTCTCTGTTCCTGCTCGTAAATAATATCTCCATATTTCTTTAGAAGTTCTGGGTCTTTTTTCAATCTATTTATAACATTCATAGTTCTTCGTCGGCTTATGTTCTCGTTACTTGATAGAAAGGGATGGTCATCTTTCCATGGTAATTTGGCAATGTATTGTCCATTACTGTACGTAATACTATTGTCCTGATACTCTCTTGTTTTCTCAAAGTTTAACTGTTGGTTTGGTTTCTGTTCAACTCCAATGGACTCCACCTCCCAAAATTTCTCTAAATTTACAACATCTTGTGTTTTCATAGTAATAACGTTCATCATGGATACGGGAATCGACGTAGAATTTATTAGAGTACCTGTTTTCAATGGTCCTGATAGAAGGTATCCGATTTTAGACAGTATAGCTGTAGGCCCGTCTCCTCTAATAACTTGATCTTGTATAACGTCCCAGTAATGATCAGCACCAATAAGAATCTCGATATCAAAATCTTCATCTCCTGAGACTGGATGTGCGAGTTTGAGCCCTTTCAGGTAAGGAAGGTGACCAGCATGTTTGTGATAAGATTTCAGTGGCATGGAAATTTCAGGCACTATGAAAACATTTATAGGAATATTTTCTTCTACTGTTTCTAAATACACGGTTGCTCTGCCTAAATGTCGCACACGACGCTCTGTGTCTCCGAAACCCGACATGTATAATGTTTCACTTCCGGTGGGCCCCAATTGTAATTTTTGGGCTAGGTGTTCACTCATAAATGAACTCTGGGAACCTTCATCAAATAGGATGTTGGCAGAAATGGAGGTACTTTTCGAGGTTACCATGGAAACTGCTGTCTTTAATAATACAGGACCTGGTGTGGTAGAGTTAGCAGAATGCAATACCGAAGTGGAGTTCCTTTTCTCATTGTTGATAACAGGATACTTATCTGTAGATTTGGCTGCTATTTCTACTCACAAATACTAGTATGATGTCTGCGTGAGCATATTTTACACTTGAATTTAGACTTACAGTCTGTAATCTTGTGGTTTCCCAGACAATTAAAACATAGCCTTCTCTCCTTCACTATATTCAGTCTCTGTTCACGATCTTTAAATTTTGCAGTCTATACAAGAGTGCTCTCCCTTACAAAACACGCATCTTTGTCTATGTGATCGTAAGTTGCTTGGTATGGGTGTATTTTTTCTTTCTGTTCTACTAGAATCAGATTTTGTTAGAAAGGTTGCTGTCGGAATGAAGTCTTGAGGGGTATTCAGCAAATTTCCAGCGTCTAAAATATTGATTTCATTCAGTATACATTTCATCAATTCACGCAAAGACCACGACTGTATCCCGTGCGCACGTGTAATGTTTGTTCTGACCTCTGGCGGTAGTTTTTGAAGGATAACAGGTGTAAGTAATGAACCGTATGTGGTCTCATTCTGATTCAGTGAAGCTAATGCTCTGATATATGTCTCTGTTGTATCATAGAATTTTCTAACATTCTGTATAGTGTCCCTGGGTGCTGGAACTTCAAGTAATGCTTTCATGTAAGTTTGTATAATTCTGTCCTTTTGACCATATCTCTCATGTAACAATGAAATAGCCTGTTCATAATTAACATTAGTTAAGGCAAATCCAGCTATTGTTTGCAAAGCTTCATTTTTAAGACACGACTTCAAGTAATTGAATTTCTGTACTCCGCTAAGTGAAACATTCGTGTGTATAGCAGACTCGTAAGAATCCCAGAATGAACACCAGTCAAGGACATTTCCGTCGAACTTCGGCAAATCTAACTTTGGTAATTTGTGGTAAACTGAGCTTTGAGATAAGGACGGTAAGAAATGCATCTGGGAAGTATTCTCGCTGATACCTGGCGCACAAATCTCGGATGTTTCGCTTGATACGGACGCTTGAATTGGCTGAGCATTAGGGTTTAGAGCTTGGGAATTGTGGTTCAAATTTGAAATTGATACCTTCCTAAAATCATGTATCTCCTGTATTTTAGTCTTTAATATGTATATATACTCATCATGCTCAAGAATTTCTGTTTCCATTTGTTCTTCTTCTTCGTCTTGAAAAGAATCAGTGCTAACAGAAACACTTTATTCATTTTGATGTTGTTGTTTTTTTGGGGTTTTTTTTAGTGTTTTAGACAGCTTGTTTGAAACATTGAACTATAGAGAAGTAAAAAGAAGAGAAAAAAATATTATAAAAAAAAGGATAGAGAAAAAAAACTAAATAAAAGTTTTAGGTGCCAACTACTAGAGTTTTCGTTAAGCGGTAACCTTACATATAAATGAACTGGCAAGTAACTCTTTCTTGGAGGAATTTTTCAGGTTTTGGTGGAGGAAGAATGATTAAATTATAAACATTCAGATTTTGATGGGGGAAGAGTTTTAAAATAATTATGAATAAATTATAAACATGTAGTAACACCCCTACAAACTTATTATAAATTTAATTTAAATCTAAAAGAAAAGACATCACAATCATAAGGGGCTCACTCAATTATTGAATTTTTCCCATGCTTTTTCAAATTCATTATGCTTGAATGACTGTTTGGACATATATTTATCAATTTTTTATAACTGCACACAGTTGTTGTTTAAAAAGTTCCTATATCAGGCCTTAATTGTTTTAATCTACAGTATTATATGTGTAATATTTGGCATGTAATATTATTTTATTTATAACTTCATCAAGATGAGCACTGCCAAACAATTATATCTAACTGACTCCAGGTTTGAATGTTAAGGTGGCATCTATCATTAATATAAACTTGTAGTTGTTCCCAAAAATGTTGTGATACATCACAGTCATAGAAAAGATGAATCAATGTTTCTTTGTCATTATGACAAAATGAACAATTATCATCATTAATTTATATTCATTTTCTTAAGCAAATAGTTTGTTGCAAGAATTCTATGGTTTATTCTATACTGAAACCATATTAACTTTTGGTCCATTGTATATTTGTAAACCAAATTAAACAAAGAATTCTTTTAAAAAAAAATTCACTGTTATTTATATATCCTTAAAATCATTTTTCCACTTTTGTAATGATTTTGGGTACTGTTTTTTCAGATTGCATTGCTCTATATATAGAACGGCATCCTTTTTTATCTCTATTAATTATACATATAGGATTTGAATAGGTGTGTTATATTTATGTTGTTTTGGTAAATCTTGAACATTTTCTTTTCTTAAAAATTCTTTAACTGAAGCTACTATAACCTCTATATTCTAAAAAATTAGTTCTAAAATATTAAATATTGAGGAAAATTCATCATATGTAAAAACTCCCCTTCTTGGTTGATAAGATCTCCTATAAAAAAAATACCACCTATTATCCATCTATTTAAACAAATACTAGAGTTTCCTTTTTTTATGCTTGGATTATACGCTAAGTTCACAAAATAGTACTGCTTAGTATTACATAGTTTTAAATTCAACAGAAAGTGTATAATAACTATAAATAAACATCTCCCAAAAAGGATTAATGTCTGAATGTAATTTTTGTCTTACTATAATCTGTTTCCAAATTTATACATTTTTTTTATGAAAGGGTTAGTTCCTTCAACCATTGCAGTTTTTGTTTTTTGGGTTCAGAAGTCTTCTACCCCATGTAGCTTTTAAAATGAAAAAAACTTTAAGGTCTATTTTTTTTAATCCTCCAATTTATTTTCGGGTTATAATTTCTTTTTTTTATTTTCCCCATTTTCCAAAAAAAACTTAAAAATATTTTTTTGTTTTTCATTTTTTTAATCAAAGGTATTTGGGATATTAAAAAAAGTGGTTTTAATTTTTCTGGGGGAAGTATTTTTTAAGACTAGTTTCCAAATTGATAAAATATTCTTTTGACAGTTTTCAAATATTTTCTTTATTTTTTTTATTTTTTTTGCTGTTTATTTACTATTTTCTTAAATATAAAATTTTTTCACCCAAACAAATAAAAAAAATCTTTTTCCAATCAAGGTTGTATTTAGGGATAAAATCAATTAGTTTCTATTTTACCACCAAAATCCTTTGTTTTTTCCCTGTTTTATTAAGCCCGAAATTTTTTATAGAATTTTAATATCCCTTTTTGTTTTTAAAAGACGTTTTGTGCCATTAGAATAAAAATTGTTCCTGATATGGAAAATTTTTTATCTCCCTTTATTTGGTTCCTTTAAATTTTTTTTTTCCTAATTAAAATTGAAGATTTCAGCACATAGTAAAAAGTTTAATGACAGGGCATCACCTCGACAACCCCCTAAGTGAGAACCCTTGACATGTTCTTAAAAATAAGCTGATTCTTATTGTGTAAAAAAATTTTAACCAAACTTTATTGAGGGCCAAAAATTTAAAAAAAATCGAACCTTGTGATAAAAAACCAACTTATCAATGCGCGCCAAAAAACAATTAAAAACAATAACCCTGGGGTGTTTTTTCAATGGAAAAAATAAAATCAATAAAGCATTCTTATATGTTGGAAAGCCATTAGCCTGCCTGGCCAAGAACCCCAGTTTGATCTTCATTTCTATAACATTTTTTAAGTTATTTTTCAGTCTAAAAGCTATTGAGGATGATGCAATTTTGTACGAGACATTTAAAAAGAGATAGGTCTCCAATTTTTTCAAATACAATTTATCTTTTGTTTCCTTTAGGAATACAAGTTATAACTCCTTGTCTTTGAGTGACTGAAAGTTTTTCCTATATAATATGCATAATTAACTGATCTAACAAGTAAAAAGTCAATATCACTCCAGAAAAAATTTATAAAATTCAACAGTAAAAACCATCAATTTCCGTGGGCTTGTATTGTTTGACATTCGTTTTAAAGAATCTAGCATTTCATTATAGGTTAATTCCCCTCAATTAATAGCTTACAATTTTCTGACAATTAGGTATGTTAGACCCCCAAGAAGTTCTACCAAGGATATGTTATCTACTTCCATTTCTTTGTATAAATTCTCATAAAAACACTTCACTTCAACCAAAATTTGTTCTTGACTTCTTAAAATCTGACCATTTTCTGAGATTAGTGAATTCATTAATTTTGAAATATAGTTTCTGTTTTCAAGATTGCAAAAATACTTTGTGGGTTTCTCTCCTTCAAGTATCCATTTGGCTTTGGATCTTATAAAAAATTACCTTCCATTTTTTTCTTCTTTCCTCAAATTTAAAAAGCTCTAATTTTTTGGCGTCCAGCAATTCATAATTAATAATTTGTTCTTTTTCAATTTTCTCTATTTCTTTAGTGAGACTCTTTTCTTTATCTACCTCTAATTTTTTCTTATGTGAGGAATAGCTTATAGTCATTCCTCTAATATTCATTAATAATGTCTCAAAAAATAATTGGTCATTTATATCAAATCTCAAATCAGATAGAGGAATATCATTAATATTATTATTTTCTGGGTACATTTGATGCATATTGGGTTTTTGTATCTAAAATAACCGTTTTTTTACTTTATTTACCATAAATATCGTCTCGAAGAAGGGAATTGTTAAATTTCCAATATGAATTACCTTTTTGAAATTTTCCAACTCTAATGACATGAAAAATTAAAGAATGATCTGTGCGATATCCAGGTAAAATCTTAGTATTGTCAAGTCAGTATAGAGATAGTCTGAAATTAAAAAAAAAAATCAAGAAGACGCGCCTTTTTAATGGGATTTCTTCTAACCAAGTGTATTTCTCTTTTTTCTCAATATTATTTTCCCTCAAGAGTCCTTTAAGTTACACTTTGATATTAAAGAAAGAACTTTGTCACGTGCATTAGGGTTATTCAAGTGCAAATAATTAAAAGAATCAGCATCTGGATTTAAAACTAAATTAAAGTCTCCGGCAAGAATGAAT